TCTGTACTAGTAACCATGTGATTACTGATATCAAAAATAAAGGTTTTTACTAGTAAGAATTGTATTTCTGATATGTGAAATTGGAATTTCAACTAGTAAGAAATTAATTCTTGATATCAACAATTGATTTTGAATGGTAGCCTATGGTGACATTTAACTAGTGAAAATACAATTACAGATATCAAGAATTATAGTTTTTACTAGTTGAAATTTAATTCCTGATATCAATAATTAGCATTTTAACTAGTGAAAATTGAATTGCTGATATCAAGTATTCGTATCCTGCGAATGAATAAAAGTCAATACGGCTTGCCTATTGCCATTCCCAGGATATAAATTATTGATATCAAGAATAATATTTTTTACTAGTAGAAATGTAATTGCTGATATCAAAAATTCAATTTCTGCGAGTGATGATGTCATTGTTGATATCAAGAATTAACATTGTTACTAGTGGAAATGTAATTGCTGATATCAAAAATAGCAAGTGTTACTTACTAGTAGAAATCTAATTCCTGATATCAAGAATTAACATTTTATCTAGTAAAAATTGAATTGTTGATATCAAGAATTCATATCCTGAGACTGAATAAAAGTCAAAACGGCTTGCCATATGCCCTGCTTATTTTCACGTTACCTTACGTGAACCTCGCTCCACCAAGACGATATCAATCCGCTTCAGCTATGTGTCTGCAACAGGTCAGTAACTAGTTGGCATGTCTGTTTTTTTCTATGTGGAGTAGTGGATCAAATTAACAAAGTATAAATCCTTTAGTTTAAATGTGCTCACATGAATAGCCTTTATATGGTTATATTGTGTTTTTTTTTTTTATTCTGAGAATAGACATATGATCGTCTTTCCTCAACCAAATTGCTCCACAACTTGTAACATTCTAAATCAACATTTGGAGGTGATAAATACTATATTAAGGCAATTATAATACAGCATTTTAATGCGTGTTCTCCGAGCCTGTCAATCAACATTAACGCGCCACCCACAGGATAACACATCTCTGCCAAAATTTTGTCCGCATGTGTTCAGAGATTAGAATATAAAGTTTACAAAATGTTTTTCATATAGTGCTACGACCCAGAATCTGCCCCACCTAAATTTACGGGCAGGAGCCGCTACTGCCTAATACACTACTGTTCAAAAGTTTGGGGTCAGCAAGATTTTTACTTTTATTCAGCAAGAGTGCATTAAATTGATCAAAAGTGACAGTAAAGATCTTTAGAATGTTACAAAAGTTTTCTATTTCAAATAAATGCTGTTTTTTTTTCTTTCTATTCATCAAAGAATCCTGAAAAATTTATTATGGTTTCCACAAAAATATTAAGCAGCACAACTGTTTTCAACATTGATGATAATAAGAAATATTTCTTGAGCAGCAAATCAGCATATTAGAATGATTTCTGAAGGATCATGTGACACTGAAGACTGGAGTAATGATACTGAAAATTCAGCTTTGCATCACAGGAATAAATTACATTTTAATATATATTCAAATAGAAAACAGTTATTATACATTCTAATAATAATTAGCAAAATTACAGTTTTTACTGTATTTTTGATCAAATAAATGCAGCCTTGGTGAACATAGGAGACTTCATTTAAAAACATTTGAAAGGTACATTAGTATATTAGTGAGATTCAGTGCTTTGTTCTTGAAAAATTCATTATTTGGATTCTAAAAATAAAAATGGTATAGTAATGTTTTTCACTGAAAATCATGCGCCTGTCCTTCTGTAATTGTCATGTCTGTAGGATTACACTTACAGCTATAGGGCTGAGCTGGCTGGTGATTGGCACAACGATGGTGGGTTTCCTCCCCAATTTCAGGTAATGCTTTAGTGATGTTTTTAGCTTTACAAATGCATGAATAATTCATGATTGCACAGCAATTCCAGTTGCTCTTTCTCCATACTTGAAGAGACCAGGACTGCTGAGCTGGAGCATATATTATTTTATGGACACTAGTGCTGGTTGGTCTACCCTAGGCTTCCGAACCAAAGCATCTGGCCTGCCCATATGTCTAAACCAACAAGACCATCAATAATCGGCAATGACCATGCTACTTAATGAACTTTCACTCACTCATTTTTTACTGGTTAACATAATGAGCTGAGAAATAAACTGAGAAGTGCATTATTAAATCTGCATTGATATAAATGATTTACACACAAACACACACACACAAAATCCCAGTTTTTCCAAATAGATATAATTTTAGGTATCATACAAACATGATGCCAGTTATGGCTAATTGCATGTTATCACACATTTTATTTCTAGTAACAATTAAGGGTTTTTACATCAAAAGAGATGCTTTAGCAAAGAAAAGCCCTTTATTTTTTATGTAAATGGAAAACATGAATGCAGAATGATGAAAAATGCACTTCAACCATTTTAACAATAGACATCTCATAATAATGTTCAATCCATTTATTGATTTGTTTAATCCTAATCATATTCATTACAGTCCTTTATTGTTTCAGAGTGAAGGGTTGGTTGAGTGAACTGGTCCACTTGATGTGCTACAGGATCTGTGCAAGAGGCCTTTCAGCTACGATTCACTACCACAACAAGTGAGTTCAAGGCTCCATTTAACAACAACAACCGGTCTAATCAAGTAACAATAATCTGGTTTAGACTTGTACAGACACTGTAGCTCTGTTCCAAAACCCAGTGAGCTGAATTTCTACGCAGGAGGCTTACTAACAAACATCTGTGTTAAATGTGTAAATTGAGAGAGAGAGAGAGAGATGCAGAGTGTGTGCAGAGCAGGGGGACGCGAGGAACAGTATTAAGAACCGCTGCTTTAGAACATTGATTTTGAAACTTGTGAATCCATTAGAATTGTTAGAAGGCAGAATCGCGATTCATATATGAATAGATTTTTATGTGCATCTCTAGTTTTCTCTTCCTCTTCTCTAAAGCAGCGCAGCATGACCTCGCCCCCTTTGCTGCCTTTTCCCGAGGGCGGGGTTTATCTGGGTTTGTGATGTCACGAACCCGGGAAGTAACTTCTTGTAGTCCCTACCAGCTGTTTTTGTAGGCATTAAACTGCCAGAATTTTAAAAGACGATATCTCCGTTTGCATTGAACTTTCAGCTTCGTAACTTTGCAGATATTGTTTATGTTCAAACAGCAACATTACACACTAACTAACATTAAAAAAGTGAAATCGCAATGAACCACCCCTTTAAATGTGTAAATTATGTGTTAAATGAGTCTAATTGTGCAATGCTAATTCTTTTTTCAGACAGAACAGGCCTAAGAGAGGAGGCATTTGTGTAGCTAATCACACTTCGCCAATTGATGTCGTTATTCTGGCTAATGATGGCTGTTATGCAATGGTGAGTGAGACCGAAATAACACTTCAGTGCAGTGGTTCTCAAATCTTGGTATTTGCACTTCCATACAGGTTTGTAAGGTTAGTACGCACCTTTATCTTCTCTTTTATTTGTATGTTGTGCTCAGCTCTGCAGCTTTACTTGATACGATTTTGACTTAAATTGCAATCTGTTTTTCACATTAAGCAATCAAATAATTTCAGAACATTAGGAATGGCATACATAAATCATATAGACTACATTGATGGTACATTATGTGCTTTTTGGAATTAAGGTTACAGTCACCGTTTACAGTCGCCAACTTCTACATTTGTGTAGCTAATCACACTTCACCAATTGATGTCGTTATTCTGGCTAATGATGGCTGTTATGCAATGGTGAGTGTGACCGAAATAACACTTCAGTGCAGTGGTTCTCAAATCTTGGTATTTGCACTTCCATACAGGTTTGTAAGGTTAGTACGCACCTTTATCTTCTCTTTTATTTGTATGTTGTGCTCAGCTCTGTAGCTTTACTTGATACGATTTTGACTTAAATTGCAATCTGTTTTTCACATTAAGCAATCAAATAATTTCAGAACATTAGGAATGGCATACATAAATCATATAGACTACATTGATGGTACATTATGTGCTTTTTGGAATTAAGGTTACAGTCACCGTTTACAGTCGCCAACTTCTAATTTTTGTGTTTAATGGATGAAAACATACAGGTTTGGAGAGACACAATTTGTATTTTGGGCATTTCATATTGCTCCTGCAAGTCATATTTGAATACTTAAAGGGGTCATATGATGCGATTTCAAGTTTTCCTTTCTCTTTGGAGTGTTACAAGCTCTTGGTGCATAAAGAAGATCTGTAAAGTTGCAAAGACTAAAGTCTCAAATCCAAAGAGATATTCTTTATAAAAGTTAAGAGTTTGTTTTGTATTTTATTTATTTTTTAACCAGTATAATGTTTTATGTTATTCATCATAAAAATGTATATATTTATTTGGGGGATATTTTAAGAGCCATATTTGAATACTTAAATTGTTTTGTTCTGTTTGTTAGATTTTTGTTTGTTTTTTAAGATTTATCTGGTAATTCTTTTGTCATTCATCCTATAAAAAATATATAGAGCCGAAAAACAATTTTTTTTAGTAATATTAAATTTTGTATACAATTAATTAATTAATTAAAAAAATATTTTAAGAGCCATATTTGAAAACTTCAAATGTTTTGTTCTGTATTTTTTATTTTTTTTTTTACAAAAAATTATTTATCATATAATTTTTTGTTATTCATCATGTAGAAAATAGAGCGAAAATACTGAAACTTTGTCTTTCAGTATGTTTTTCAATAATATTAATATTCATATACAATTAATCTATTTATTTTGGAATATTTTAAGAGTATATAAGAGCATATAAGAGACATAATATATATTATATAATATATTATGAATAATTTTTTATTACTCATTATTTAAAAAATATAGTGCTGTCAAACGATTAATCGTGATTAATCGCATCCAAAATAAAATTTTTGGTTTACATAATATATGTGTTTGTACTGTGTATATTTATTATGTATATATAGAAATACACACATATGCTTGTATATATTTAGGAACATTTTTGAAAAAGTTTTGTTTATATATAAAATATTTATATTTAAATATAATATAAATTATATATGTATATATATATATATGCATGTGTGTGTGTTTATATATACATAATAAATACATACATATATTATGTAAACAAAAACCTTTATTTTGGAATGCGATTAAAAACTAAAAATACAAAAAAAAGCACTAAAATATATATATATATGTAAAGCTGAAAGAAAATGCTGATTTTTTTCCAATAACATAACTGTTAATATTGTGTGCTACTGTTTTTTGTTTCATTTGTAAGTATTAGCTAGATTAATACATGTAAATTATGTATGTTTATTCAGTGAATTTTGACATCAACAAAAACATTAGAAAACCACTGCTTTAGTCACAGAAGAACTAATTATCTGTCCTTATTAACACTTAGTTCCGAAGTAAAAAAAAAATTGCTCACAATTAAACAAACCATTTTTTTGGTGAACAGGTAGGGCAGGTTCATGGTGGTTTAATGGGAGTCCTCCAGCGTGCCATGGAGCGGTCTTGCCCTCATATCTGGTTTGAGAGAGCGGAGATGAGAGACCGCCACCTAGTGACACAGCGGTAAAACAACAATAATGATGTTCTTTTATTGTTAATCAAGCAAATCACTACAGTACAAAACAAAAAAAGCATGATTTTCAAAATGTTTACATTTATTTCAGTTAATCTTTCTGCAGTATAAAGCTGCATGAAAATGCATGCATATATTTCTCTGCATATTTTCTTAGACAAAATGCCTCCCTGTTGCATGCTGGGTCATGTCTGTCTGAGTCAGCTGCTATGTGCCTCACAGCACAACAGAAACACACTTATTTAAAAACAACACACAGTGTTCTGACATGCATTGAGGACTTAAGCAGCACTGGAAATTACATTACACAGGCACACACACAAATGCTTGAATATCCGTAATATAAGTCACGTTACATACATAGTTATGTTATGTAATGTAGGCCGCAGTTTAATATCATTTCATACACGGATGATTTCTGCAATGCTGTAGTGTGGTTTATTGTGGTTTACAGTCTGTTTCCTTAAGGCTGTCCTGGCCACACTTTAGTTTAAGGTCCAGTTCTCACTATTAACTATGACTTTTGCCTCAGTAAACTCCTAATTTGCAGCTTATTAGTAGTTAGTAAGGTAATTGTAAAGTTTAGGTATGGGGGTAAGATTACGGGATCTAAAATATGGTCATGCAGAATAAGGCATTCATTTGTGCTTTATACAGTAAGTACTAACAAACAGCCAATATGCTAGTAATATGCATGATAATAAACAACTAGATATAGTGAGAATTGTTCCTAAAAATAAAGTGTTGCTGCCATCCTTATATGCCATTGTAAAGCATGTAAGTTGAGTCGAAGGCTATTTCGATAGCACCCCAAGCAGCTATTTTACCATCATGTCAGTACAGCTTGACAGTCTACTTGAATGAGAATTTCCAAAAATATTTGCCGTTTCAATAACATATTTTAAGTAGCCAATTAAAACTTAGTCAGTTTGCATGGTAGGTTTAACTCTGTTCAGTTTGTAATGCAAGAAAAATGTTAAAATATTTTTTTTTGCCTGAATATCATCTGTTTGCCATTCATCAACACTATATTTAAATCTAGAATAAAAAAGAATATATCAAGTTTTCAGTATGTTTTTATTTTTTATTTTTTAGAAAATCCAGAATTGATCCCTCATTTTCATTCACAGTACTAATCTGCCTATAAATGTAATCAAAATTAAATCTAAAGATTAATATTAAAAATATTATATTTTTATAGGCTTAGGAAGATATTAAAATAACGTTTAAAAATTCATTTAAAAATATTGTTTTTTTTTTGCCAGAATTTCATCCAGTTGCCATTCATTACCATTAGATTTTATTCTAGAATAAAAGAGAAAATTCATTAGTTGTGATTTGTTCAATTGATAAATTGATCTCTTCCTCATAGCGTCTTTCATCATAACATGCTGGTCTGTTCATCTTTCTTGTTTTGTCATCCTCCCCAGGTTAAGAGATCACGTAAATAACAAAACAAAGCTGCCAATACTCATCTTCCCTGAGGGTAAGTGCATAATAACAATGAGAAACACACCGAGATACAGTTTCAGTCGTATTTCAGGTCCTGCTTTACAGCGTTGTTCTTAAAGCTTAATGGTTGAAGTTTAATACTTGCACCTGGTTGCCCCTGCAGGAACTTGCATCAATAATACATCAGTAATGATGTTTAAAAAGGGAAGTTTTGAAATCGGAGGAACTATATACCCCGTGGCTATAAAGGTAATATATCAGTACTTGTCTTTTATGCCCATAACCTATTATAAAGTAAAGTGTAAGGTGACAGGGTGATTTTCACAATTCTTGTTGACTTGAAAAATGCAATGTACTGTAGTAACTTGCAATGTGAATGATGATAATGATTCTCTGCTGCACTGCATTTATTTGATCAAAAATACAGTAGTAATATTTTGAAAGATTATTTCCATTTAAAATATTTTATTTAAATGTAATATATTTTATAATGTAATTTATTCAATGCTCCTTCACTCATCATTCTAATATGCTGATTTTCTCTAATTGGTGCTCAGTTATTAATAATGGTTACTCGTTGATTATCAATTATCATCAGTGTTGATGCTAAATATTTTTCTGGAAACCATGACACATTTTTCAAGATTTGTTGATGAATAGAAAGATAATTGAACAGCACTTATTTTAAATAAAATAGTTTTTTTTGTAACAATATAAGTGTCTTTACTCTCACTTTTAATCAATTTATTGCATCCTTGCTGAATAAAAGTATAAATTACTTAAATAAATAAATAAATTACCCAACACTCTTGAATGGTAGTGTATTGTAGTTTCTACAAAATTGTTTTCAACATTGATTAAATTAAGAAATGTTTCTTGAGCAGCAAATCGGCATATTATACTGATTTCTGAAGGATCATGTGACACTGAAGACTGGAGTAATGATGCTGAAAATTCAGCTTTGCATCACAGGAATAAATTACATCTTAAAATATATTCAAATAGAAAACACTTATTTGAAATTCTAATAGTATTTCACAATATTACAGTTTTTACTATATTTTTGATCAAATAAATGCAGCTTTGGTGAGCATAAGAGACTTAAAAAAATATTAAAAACATTAAAAAATCTTAATTACTCCAAACCTTTGGCCAATAGTGTGTGTGTGTGTGTGTGTGTAATATTATACTATATTTTAATTGTAATATATAATTTAAATTATTTTAGACATAATTACTCTAAAAATATTTCCTGTAGCAACTGTTTAAATTGATAATTAATAAAAATAATTATGAAAAAATAAATAAAATTAATACAATAATTATCATTAAATAACATACAATTGAAAATAAATCAGTAATATACAGAGTACTGTGTTTTGGTCCCATGTTGCAATGATCTTCATAGTGTGTGTGTGTTTGTATACTGACCTACTATGACCCTCATGCAGTGTCTGTGTGTGTGTTATATATAGTATGACCCTCAGTTTGGAGATGCTTTCTGGAACAGCAGTAAATATAGCATGGTGAGCTATCTGCTGCGGATGATGACGAGCTGGGCCATAGTCTGCAACGTCTGGTATCTGCCTCCAATGACGCAGAAGGTGAGAGCTCAAGCTGTAAAGTGTAAAATAGCTGTAGCTTTTTGTAGCACGATGTTGATGTGATTGATTACGCCCTCACTGACTCATTTCCTGTGTGCACAGGAAGGAGAGGATGCTGTGCAGTTTGCTAACAGGGTGAAATCAACCGTTGCACAACAAGGAGGTTTAGTGGACTTGGCCTGGTGTGTAAATGGGTTTGTCTTCATCTGTCTTGCTACAGTGATTGAATTTAAGTTAAAGGTTTATTACTTTGTATGTCTCACAGGGATGGAGGTCTGAAGAGGGCAAAGGTGAAGGATTCATTTAAGGAGCAACAGCAGAAGAAGTACAGCCACATGGTGGTGGGTGACGACAGCAGTGACTGAACACAAACTCCAATGATCACAGATCTTCTCATTCACCAGTCACTGGAAATACGGCGACTTGTTGACAAAAGTACAGGAGGGTCTACTCATACCACTGCTGCTAAAATACGGTTTAAAGATATTTATAAATGGGGCATAGATATAAATAAATATGCATTGCAAATGCTATAGATCCCAGTTTCTTATGAGCTGCACTGCTTTTCTGTGAAGAGTTTTATTTGCCGGAATATTAATTGGGTGAAAAGGCTTTTGCGATTTATTTGAGAGTCCATTTTTAAAATTTCAAATGTTTAAAAAGGACAAAATTATAAATGCATGATTGGGGTTAATATTGAATTTGGTATATGATCATTTATTTCTCAGAGCAAATAAACTTTTGTGCTTTTTTTAACATTTGTTTCTTGTCACATACGTATGTCTAGTATTGTGATTAGTTCCTGACAAAATACACTTATTTTTATTAAACTCAAGGTTGCCACAGCCATGAAAACCTGGAAATATGAGGGATAAATTCAGATTTTTTTGGGAAAAAGTGAAATCTTAAAAATACATTTCTATTGTCAAAATTTTTCTTGTTATTTTTTTCTAGTTTCTGTTTTTTTCTAACTTCTGAAATGAGGCAGTGTTGGTTAAAGGGGTCATATGATGTTGTTAAAAAGAACATTATTTTGTGTATTTGGTGTAATGAAATGTGTTTATGTGGTTTAAGGTTCAAAAAACACATTATTTTCCACATACTGTACATTATTGTTTCTCCTCTATGCCCCGCCTTTCTGAAACGCGTCGATTTTTACAAAGCTCATGCAGATTTCAGTTTTATCATTAATTGTCAAAAAATTTCTTATTAAATATAGTAAAAAAAACATACCACAAATAAACAATGTTGAGGAATAAAACTATATATATATTTTTAATTTATGCTCATAAATTATTTACCTAAAAGTTGTTCATTGTGATAGCAGTATGCAAAATTTTATGCAAAAAATATTTGGAGAATTTATGGAAATGCCTCTCAAAAGGTATGGGAACCCTGTAAAATGTTAGTATGTTTTAACTACTGACCATTTGTTTTTGTTTTTTTCACTTGAGACCAGGTCTGTCACATCTGTGTATACTTCAGCAAACAGTAAAACTGATTACAAGCATTTGATCTTTTATTTGATCTTAGCTGTTCAGAGCAGGCTAAACATTGAAGCTGCAGCATGTTCACTTTACATTTTTATTATCGTCACATCTGTGTTAGAGGTGTTGCTGTCTAGCTGTGTTTTACAACACACTAAACTGAAGCATTTGCTCGTATTTTCTCTGTATTTTCACACTTTGTGTGAAAAGTCAAAAATGCAAAAGGCACTATGGGTAAAATTGTGTGCTGATCTGAAACAAGCACCATATTTCAGTATACAGACTGTGGTCTACACTGAATCTGTTAGTGATGTTGCACAGAGATTGAGAAAACACTAATTTAGTATTGCTTTGAATTAGCCAATATAGATCCAGACTTTTTTTCCATACATAATATTTATTATTATGTTATAGACAGAGTGTTGGTTAATGCAATTGAAAATATCCCAGTAGGTAATGCAAATAAATAAAAAAAATAAATAGAGGGAAAAAACATATTTGAACTAAATAAGGTTAAGGAATAAAAATAATACTGCTAATACAAAATATGGCATTTTTCAATAAGTTCAATCTACTGAAATGATTATGACTGGCAAGTGTTTATCAGTGAGATAATTCTGAATATGTTTATGTATGATAAGCAATGTTATAACACAATGCACGAGGAGGAGTTTTTGGATTCTTTGCATCCATTATCTTCAGCATCTCTTTTTGGATCAGGAACTGCACACACACAAACATACATAAACATTACACACATCTGATCAATCAATGTTGGATTTTTTTATTTATTTGAATCTCAATATGTTTTGGACAGCTTACCTTGTCTGGAACCACCAGCTTGCCCCTTCCTTAGACCACTGACGTGCGCTTGGTCATTATTTGCATTCTGAATGAAGAAGACATGGTCATTATAATGTCTCAAATAATTTGCAATACCTATTTTTTAAAATTTGATCATAATAGTACATCCAAAAATGAAAATATCATCATTTATTCTTCCTAAGCGCTCCAAAAATGAAAAAACTTTAATAAAAGTTGCCCAAACAACTCAACTTGACAGTCTCAGTTCATTTCTACTTTCATTCAATTCAAATAAAAACAATTTCGTTTTTCTGTGTGAACTATTCCTTTAATGTATGCAACATACCATCAAAGACTTTTCAAGCATCAATCTTTTCTCCTCTGGAAGGGTTCTGTAATACCTGCAGTGGATACACAAATTATATCATTTATAACATATAGCGACCCAACTTTCATTTACAGATACCAACCAGTCTGCCATATATTTAATAATAATAATTTATGCATTTAGCAGACGCTTTTATCCAAAGCGACTTACAGTGCATTCAGGCTATACATTTTTTACCAGTATGTGTGTTCCCTGGGAATCGAACCCACGACCTTTTGCGCTGCTAACACAAAGCTCTATCCAGACTTTTTTTCCATACATAATATTTATTATTATGTTATAGACAGAGTGTTGGTTAATGCAATTGAAAATATCCCAGTAGGTAATGCAAATAAATAAAAAAAAAATAAAAAAAATTAATAGAGGGAAAAAACATATTTGAACTAAATAAGGTTAAGGAATAAAAATAATACTGCTAATACAAAATATGGCATTTTTCAATAAGTTCAATCTACTGAAATGATTATGACTGGCAAGTGTTTATCAGTGAGATAATTCTGAATATGTTTATGTATGATAAGCAATGTTATAACACAATGCACGAGGAGGAGTTTTTGGATTCTTTGCATCCATTATCTTCAGCATCTCTTTTTGGATCAGGAACTGCACACACACAAACATACATAAACATTACACACATCTGATCAATCAATGTTGGATTTTTTTATTTATTTGAATCTCAATATGTTTTGGACAGCTTACCTTGTCTGGAACCACCAGCTTGCCCCTTCCTTAGACCACTGACGTGCGCTTGGTCATTATTTGCATTCTGAATGAAGAAGACATGGTCATTATAATGTCTCAAATAATTTGCAATACCTATTTTTTAAAATTTGATCATAATAGTACATCCAAAAATGAAAATATCATCATTTATTCTTCCTAAGCGCTCCAAAAATGAAAAAACTTTAATAAAAGTTGCCCAAACAACTCAACTTGACAGTCTCAGTTCATTTCTACTTTCATTCAATTCAAATAAAAACAATTTCGTTTTTCTGTGTGAACTATTCCTTTAATGTATGCAACATACCATCAAAGACTTTTCAAGCATCAATCTTTTCTCCTCTGGAAGGGTTCTGTAATACCTGCAGTGGATACACAAATTATATCATTTATAACATATAGCGACCCAACTTTCATTTACAGATACCAACCAGTCTGCCATATATTTAATAATAATAATTTATGCATTTAGCAGACGCTTTTATCCAAAGCGACTTACAGTGCATTCAGGCTATACATTTTTTACCAGTATGTGTGTTCCCTGGGAATCGAACCCACGACCTTTTGCGCTGCTAACACAAAGCTCTACCACTGAGCCACAGGACGCAAAAACTGGTTCTGTTTAATGTATTAGAAATGTGTATATATGCTTAACTCACCTCTTCAGATAGGAATCTTGATTCCCATCCGTCTCTGTAGCATGAGAGGAACCAGACATCTCTCCATCTAACAACACAATGCACTAAAACATACACAATCTTTAAGTTATTTTATCCACAAAACAACCAACAGAGCACAAGCAGGCCCTGAGCTAATATATGTGTTGTTAAAATGTCTTAGATACAATTTTTGTCCACTCAAACAACCCTGCTGGCCCTAGTCATATAGTGCCAGTGGAGGTTTCTGTTGTTGTTTCCATAGCAACAGGGCCCCATATACCAGTTTGAACAGTTTGAATATCCACAAAGAGGTGTGTCATATAAAGAGGTGCAGGAGCAGACCATTTCACCCTGGGCCAAACTTTTGGGTGTAACATTATTTTCAGTTTCAATGTTAAGTCAGACACCTGGTCAAAGCAATATTTCTCATGTTCATTTAGTGTAACAAGTCAATAAGTAAAACTGATATAACAAATAAAAAATATATTTAAAAAAAACAATAACTAATAAATATGACAAAAACACAACAAAACTGCTAACAATGTAATTCAAAATATCAAAAAACTAAGAGTATTTCAATGATACTAAAATAAGCAGACCGACCAATCGATCGATAGATATTAATTAGTTTAATTTAATTTAACTTAGTTAATAACTAAATCTGTAATAAAAATGAGTTAAAAAGAAACTATAGACGTATTTAAAAAAACATAAATGACAAAACTCAACAAAACTGCTAACTTTAATTCAAAATCTAAAAAAAAATCTCAATGACACTAAAATAAAAAATAGATAGATAGATAGATGAAATGTGAAAAGAATTTCCTCTCTGAGGACAAACAAATCTATCTATCTATCTATCTATCTATCTATCTAAACTGCTAATTTTTCAAAATATAAAAAAACTGTAACTATCTCAATGATACTAAAATAAAAGAGACAGACAGACCGACCGACCGACCGACCGATAGATAGTATTCCTTCACGGTCACTATAATTTCATATATGTGAAGTTGTGTATCATACTTTAATGACATTACAATCAATTTAAATGTGGAGTAAAAGAAAATGAAATATTTAACAAAATTAGTACCGCATAGCCTCCAACCGGAAGCCTTCTCGCACTGAGCGGAAGCGCAGCGGCTCCAGCTGTTATTGTTGACAGACGGAGCTTCGTGGGGAAAATGGCGGTGTCCCGTCGATCCTCACAGCACCAACAAAGCAGCTTGCAGCCTTCTCCGCGGAACGCTGTGATCGCATCCCCCCCACCCGAATCGCCGTCCGCGATTATTCCCGAATCGACGAGTTTATTGAGCCCTTCGGCCACTGGCGCAGCGGAATGCGGCGGAGCGACGATGGAGTCCGCAGCGGCCTCCTCCTCCTCCGCCTCTCCTCCAGACCGGCCCGCCTCAGCAGCAGCGGCTGCCGCAGCCTCGTCAGCCCTCGTTAGCTCCAGCTGCAGCAGCATTAGCTCCAGCGCGACCGCAGGCAGCCAGAGCCCCGGCTCAGGAGCGGACAGTCCCGGGGACGGAGTGTGCGGGGCCGGCGGGGCGTTCAGAGAGCTATTCGAGGCCTGTCGGAACGGAGATGTGTCCGTCTCCGCGGAACGCCGTTATCGCATCCCCCCCACCGGAATTGCCGTCCGCGATTATTCCCGAATCGACGACTTTATTGAGCCCCTCGGCCACTGGCGCAGCGGAATGCGGCGGAGCCACGATGGAGTCCGCAGCGGCCTCCTCCGCCTCTTCCCCAGACCGGCCCGCCCCAGCAACAGCAGCGGCCGCGCTCGGCAGCTCCAGCTGCAGCAGCATTAGCTCCAGCGCGACCGCAGGCAGCCAGAGCCCCGGCTCAGGAGCGGACAGTCCCGGGGACGGAGTGTGCGGGGCCGGCGGGGCGTTCAGAGAGCTATTCGAGGCCTGTCGGAACGGAGATGTGTCGCGGGTGAAGAGGCTGGTAGACTCGGTGAATGTGAACGCCAAAGACATGGCCGGACGAAAATCAACCCCTCTGCATTTCGCTGCAGGTCTGTATTTATGTATTTGCTAAATATAATGCTCGTCTGTGAGCATTTTGCTTTGTTTTTGACCTTATAAAAGAACAAAACGTAACCTTTGTGGATTTTGGTTCCACTAGATTTGGAGTTTATTTATTCAAGCATGAGATTTTTCAATTGAAGTATACATATATGTTTATGTATAGAGTGTGTTGTTTTCATACAAAAATTATGTATTGTAAGTTGACTGTTCACAGTGGTTATGTGTCATGGCATAATAATAATAATAAGTTCTATTTATATAGCGCCTTTCCAGGGCTCAAGGACGCTTTTGTTGTAATATTACATGTCATTTGATTCAAATCTACATGAGTAAAATATGATGAAACTGACACCTAATTGTACAGTACTAAATTTCCCTATATTGTCTATACAAACTTTAAATTTCATGAATTATTTCTAGTGTAAGGCAAAAATGGTCTTGCGGTTTAAAATGAACCTTGTGGACAGGAAAACTAATCAATTATTTAGGTATTATCTAATTAGGGTGTGTTTTTAAAACCTTAAAAATCGAAGTCTGTGCATTTTGTGAGTCATATGAACTGACTAAATTCATTTCTAATTGGATAGACCTGAAAATTTGCTAACCAGGAGTCCAAAGAAAATGAAACAAAGCCGTTTATAAGCTTAAAAAGTTAAGATATTACATTTAGTCTCCTGTTGTTAATTACATGGACATCATTCCAAATAAACATTAGCCATCAATGTTCAGTCCTACAGTGTGGAATCTCTGCATAATGGGAGATTTTCAGCATTAGTAAGCATAAGCATGCAGTTTTCATGATCTCATAATGATTGGGAGACTATATGGATTTATTTGCACTTAAAATGTATCTGTCACATTGCAGGGCCTTTTAAATGATCTACATAATGGCGGCTAGGTATTAAAGTTGATTAAAAAAATCGTAAAGCAGTAGGTCACTCAGAATGATGTGTTTTGTAAGTATTATTATTAACATATCTTGTTTTGTGTTTAATGAAGAAAGAAAGTCAACCGGTTTGTAATGTCTAAAAAATTGTAGTTTTTTGGTACAGAAAAGAGCTGAGATGCTTGCAGCATTAAAAAAAACACACATAAATAAATAATTTTTAACCTAGACTCATTAGGTGTAATAAGATCTGATATGTCATTTTTTTTATTCGTTTCATCATATTAGATTCATTGCATTTTAACCCATTTGTCCTATGTAATGTTTGTCAGGCTTTGGCAGAAAGGACGTGGTGGAGCATCTCCTGCAGACCGGAGCAAACGTCCATTCCCGTGACGACGGCGGTCTGATCCCGCTTCATAACGCCTGCTCGTTCGGGCACGCGGAGGTGGTCAGTCTGCTGCTGTGTAGCGGCGCTGACCCCAACGCACGAGACAACTGGAACTACACACCTCTGCACGAGGCCGCCATCAAGGGCAAAATAGACGTGTGCATTGGTATGGATTAAATTGAGAAATTTTATCATTTCATCTGTTTCCAATTGTAGTCCAATCAGACCAGTTCTGATCATTAAAACAGCTCTAAGACAAATTCTGATGGTCTCTGATATATCGTTCATCCCTAACAGTAGGGGTGTGCCATATCATACCGTCCACGATAATACCGGTATAAATTTTTACATGATAAAAAAAAGTGTCATATCGCAATATCAATGATATAGCATTGACGCAATATATACGCAATTGACGTATGGCGCATTTACGTTCCTTGGCTCGCACAACAACACCACCACAAACCCAATAGCTGTGTTCAACTTGAAGCAGCGACTGATCGGTGTATGACATCAAAATATCGCGAGAGCGGTTCTAGAGCAGGGGTTCACATCCTTTTTAATGGTTAAATTACATTTTATTAATCAAAAAGCATGTCTAATTAATTAAAATCATGAAACTTAAACAATTTAACATCAATTTATTAAAAGTTTAACAAATATTACATGTTTAGGGCCCTATGAAATGTTTTATTTTTCCAACCTTATGTTTTATTGTAACCAAATTCTGTTTTAGCATGTCTAATTATTTGAAAGCATAAAACAAGTTTCATTTATATATAATGGCAGGGGAAACACTGCTGTCATCGATGACAGTAGCTCATTGGAAAAGGATGAAAAATGCCCTTAATTTTGTTTGCCCTAATAAATGCTGCTGCCTGCCAGCTGCAATCACCAATAAAACATTGTTCCATATTTTTTTCTATATCATCATAAATATCATTATCGCAAATATTCTTGAAATATCGTGATATAATTTAGAGGCTATATCGCCCACACCTACCTAGCAGAAAGGCAATGAATCAGGTCTAATCAGTCCCAGTCAACATCGTGTGGAGTTGCAGCAGTTGTCTAGAGAGCTGATGTGGTGGTCCAGCATGCTGCAGTATTGCTGTGTTGTGATAGTAATGTTGTTGTCCTGTAGTATTTGTCATAGAGCGCTGCTGAATACCCCTGTGCTGAGACGGCTCTCTGTGTGTGAGTGAGAAAACTGACAGAATCTCTGATATTTGCATTATTAACATGATAAATAGGTTTGTCCGAATACGGTGCGTTACTTTGTTTAAAACTATTTCTTCAGAGTTATTTGGCGAGTGTGGAGCGTGACTGTTAGGGATGTGCAATATATTGGTGATATCATTATTGGTCAATATTATTATTATTATTATTATTTTTTGTGGCATTGTACTGATTAGTCTGATATTGGAAACCAATTTTATCAGAATTCTTTAAAAATATGTATTTGTATTTTTATATAAACCAGGAGCCCAAAAAACAAGTAAATAAGATCTTTATAAACTTAAAAATTTAAGTTGATATGTTTTAACCCCTGCTATTAATTAAACAGATGTCGTTCCACATAAACATTGCCCATGTTCAGTCCGATGGTGTGACACCTCCACATAACAAGAGGTCTTCAGCATTAGTAATCATAAGCATGCAGTTTTCATGATCTCATATTAATTGAAAGACTGTATGGATTATTCACACTTAAAAATGTGTCACGTTACAGGACCATTTTAATTAGATAACTAATGACAGCTGATGTAGAATGATGCTTTTTGTGACTATCATTAACATTCTGCTAAACATCTCGTTTTGTGTTTAATGAAGAAAGAATTTCAAACAGGTTTAAAAATGTTTTGGAAAATGTCTTGAAAATTGTAATTGTTTTGTGTAAAACTATTTCTTTAGAGATATTTGGCGAGTGACTGTTAGGGATGTGCAATATATTGGTGAAAATAAATATTATTCAATATTGTCATTTTGGACTGATTAGTTTGATAATATGCTGATGCTGGAAAAAAAATAAAAATATTAACACTTTATAATATAGTTAGGTTATAGGTTATTATAGGTATATGATAACATTAGTTAACTACACTAGTAAACATGAACGAATAATGAACAATAGTTTTACAGCATTTGTTCATCTTAGTTAATTTGTTAATTTCAACATTTGAAATTAAACGTATCTGTTAACATTGGTTAATGCACTATATAAACACTATATAAACAGTTATCCATCTTTTCTGCTGTGCATGTGTTTCAATGGCTGACTGTACTAAAACTGCAGAGCTAGTATGAACACTTTAGGTGGAAAAACAGTGTTGATAATTATACTTATCGACCACAACATAAAACATTGTCAGTTTCAGTATCGGTGACTGTATTGCTTGGTTCTGTTTCTTACAGTGTTGCTCCAGCACGGCGCTGATCCGAATATCAGAAACACTGACGGCAAATCAGCTCTGGACCTGGCAGACCCTTCTGCTAAGACCGTCCTCACCGGTGAGACATACACATACACACATCTGCTTTACAGTCATTAACAACACACACAGTCTCATGAGCACTGAGTATGTTTTTGTAGTATGCAGTATGCCAATATAGCAAGAGCATGCTGTGCGAGTGCTGTTTACCACAATGCACTGCTCTCCAGTTTGAAAAATGAACCGAAGGCCATTTACAGCCACATTTCCACAGTATATTAATTGGTCGGAAAGATACATGTTTAAACATATGCACACAAATTTGGATTGAAATGCCAACTCGATGCCACTCACCAAATTAAATGTGAGGTTAATGTAACAGTGTTCTGTTTGAAACGTTGCATCCTGCGTTTCATTTCACATACTAATTAAATAAGGTATGTACTGCATGAAGTATGCTAGTTTGACCATTGTAACGCTAAAAACATCCACATACCCACATTAATGAATCTTGCAAATCAAGTCTGTCTGACACCTGCTGTCTGATTTTATTTATCAGGTGAATATAAGAAGGATGAACTGTTGGAGGCAGCGAGGTGAGTTTTTGGTGCAATATAATTTAAAGGGGTCATATGATGCGATTTCAAGTTTTCCTTTCTCTTTGATTACTAAGATAAACACTGAAGTAACTTTGAGGGGGGGTATGGATGGTTGTTTGAATCCCTCAGCCTCTTGTTTCTTATGTTGGAGTCCTTTGAGAAGAATGTTGGGATGAATGTGCAGAGCTGTAGGTGCTACACACAACCTGGCACAGTTGTATGTTCATGTTTAGAAAACTCTGATGTCGGAACGGAAATCCAAGAATATCAGAATGAGACATTTTTATTCATAAATGTTTATTGGACAGGATAAGTATTTTATAAAGTAAATGTAAGAATAACTTTTATACTGTTGGTAATATTTCAAGATGAACACTTACTGGACTGAATCAACTTAGGTTTACTTGTTTATCCATTCATCAATTCTTTGGAAAAATCATGTTAAAATGTATCAATTATGATCATCAGACTTTTGAGGAATTTGTTCATTTTTCAGTCTTCATTGTATTGCATCGCATTACATGTTTTGCCCCACAATAAAAATTACAGAGTTCGTTGCATAAAACTAAACATTTAAATATCATCTTACAATGACATATTATTGGGAGATACAGTGTGATGACTGACATTTATATGCATTTTATGTAAGCTATTTGCTATATTGTTATGAAGATCTCATTGATTTACATTGCAAGCTATCAGAATTTCATCTTGCTTTTTGGCCATATAAATATCTGCAGCTGCACCAAATTACATATTTTTGATAAGTATGCACCTCTGAATAAAATTTACATCTGAGTAACAGTGTAGTCCAATATAGTTGCCACTGCTGCACCATCCGTTAATAGCTGCTCACAAAGCAGTCCCATTTATTGCTGCTAGCAATAAATAGAGGTTTCAATAAATAGAGTCTAAAGGAAAGTTTTACATCGAACCTTACATTAAGTTTACATGGTAAGTTTCTTATATTTTAAAAGCTATTGCTATTTTTTTAAGTACATTGGAATCTTTTTTGACTGTCACTGATCCAGAAATGTCTTTTCTCTAAGTTGCTGTTCTTAACAGTGTTTGTCTCCCTCTGTTTGGAAAACCTTGTTAGGAGCGGAAATGAGGAAAAGTTGATGGCACTTTTGACCCCACTTAATGTTAACTGTCATGCCAGCGATGGACGCAAGGTAACACAGATCTGAATTAACATTTTATATATCTGATAAGATGTGAATTTTAGTAAATATGTCTGTTGTTTCTAAACTCAAGCTCTATTCAAACTCGAACACAGGATGTGATTTCATGTATTTCACTGGTTGTATAAATGGCATAGATGTAGGTCAAGACAATCCCAAAGTTTTTTTCCCTGTAATACTGTGTTTAGAGTAAACAGCGCTGACCTAGTTTTACCCATGATGAGTTTAAGTTTGGACATATGGTTTGTCCAATGTATGTCGTTTTATAATGTTTGTTTCAAGGTTACACTGCCCCTTTGTTCAGTCTGGGCTGCTTTTGGATGTCAGTCATTTTTTATAAGGGATTTCAGTTGATCTTTGATGCCTATTGGATCCACTTCTGACCTTCATGATGTTTTAGGCCAAAGCTTTTTTGATCCATTTTTTCCTGTAATCACAACATAATAACAGGACCTCCATTTCCCCTCAAATCCTTTTCAGGTCACTCCCTCCCTCCAGACCTCTGTGTCTTTTATGTCAGAAGGGCTTTTTAGGAATGAGTTTACTGTGGGTTTGTTGCTCTGTTAGTCTCCTTTAGTGGATGTTGAATTACGTACTGTATCTCATGCTGGAGTGTAGTGATATAATGTACTTTTATTATTTTTTAGAGGCTGAGTATTGCTGCTGCTTTTATTTTTGTACTCTCCGATACTGATCTTGATGCCTGTATTTTGTATAGTGGTGTAATTTCGACTGATATTTTGAGAGTAGCGTGTTAACATCAAACACAGGACTTTATAGTTTGACAAAATGCGTTCTTTGATTAATTGCTTTGTTCATATTTTTCAAGTCACTTTAGATAAAAGCATCCGCTAAATAAGTAAATGTGAATAGTTGACCACTGAGCATAATGCATGCTTGAATGTACTCTACATAGATGTGAAATATTGGCAGTCATGCCATACCGAAAACATTGTAAACCTAGAAATATCCCTGATCCACTGACATTTTGTATTGGTTTGGAGCACAGTACATGAGCATAGAAAATGTTTATAGACCCAAGGATGCACCAAAATGATAATAACGTAAGTTTATGCTGTCATTTGATTTGTATAGAATATTGAGGAAATACTGTATAAAATAATTGAATATTTTTGTGTGTCATTTTCTATCATTAAATTGTGTGTATATGTACCATTCAAAAGTTTGGGATTTTAAAGAAATTAATACTTTTATTCAACGAGTATGCATTAAATTGATCAAAAGTGACAGTAAAGACATGTATAATGTTACTATTTCAAATAAATTCTGTTCTTTCTAACTTTCTATTCGTCAAAGTGAAAGAAAACACAATGGGCCTCTTTTACGAAACAAACGTATGACAGAAAACGGCGTACGGTCGTTTCAACGCAAAAACTTGGAATTGATCAATTTGGACGTGAGCGGTGGCTACGATCAAATCTCACGTCTGGTCTCAGCTCGTGTACGCAAGTTTTTGAGTTACCTGAAGTTGCGCGCAGCATAGTAAATACGGTGGAGAATTGTAGAATGACAGCATTTTGTTCATTTTTACTTTCCTGACCGTCAAACGAAGCTCATTAGTCGATCGTTAACCAGTAAGATTAGAGTGTCTTTTTTGTTGTTGTTGTTTTGTACAGGGCTTTAGCTTTATATGCGCGAATAGTAGCACAAACAAGACTGTGAGGATTCAATCGTCAAATCATGCACCTGCAGCGCTTCTGTGAAAGGAGAAAAACAGAAATTAAGTCTATAAAAGGAATAAAATAAATAGGATCACACTAAATATATAATAGGCTAATATAATTAACAGATTAACAAAAGGAAAAAAAACACTGTGCAACAAGTATAGGCTACGCTCTTTTTTGTGACACTCTTAATGCTTTATTTCTTTTCTTTATATCTTTATTTGATTTAATCCATCTGATCCCACAGGCGCCTCACGCACACACAAACAAGATCTGCGCTTGTTTCTACGTTAGATTGATAAATGAGACCCATTGTATCTACAAAAATATTAAGCAGCACAACTTTTTCAACACTGATAATAATAAAAAAGGTTTCTTGAGCAGCAACTATTAGAATGATTTCTTAAGGATCATGTGACATTGAAGACTGAAAGATGTGGACTATTGAGCTTGCATCACAGTAATAAATAACATTTTGAAATATATTAAAATACAAAAGCATAAAATTTAAATTTTTGATCAAATACTAGCAGCCTTGGTGAGTGTAAAATACATTAAAATAATCTCACAGACCCCAAACTTTTGAGTGGTAGTATTTATTAGTCTTATATTGGCCATTTAAAATGTCAAATTGGCTGTAGCATTTATCTTTCTGTGTGAACTGATTCCTAAAAATAATATAGAGTCTTTCACAGAAATAATTAACTAAAGATTTTTTTTAGTATTTTAAGATAGGATGCTGTAGCTGTTGAATTATTAGGTTTTAAGCACCACAGTCAGCTTTGATGGATACTATGTTAGTTTATAGCTAATTTTTTGTTTTGTTTTGTTTTTTGTTCTGGCGACATTCAGTCAACATCTCAAAAAATGCTGGTAAGTTTATTTTGTGAAACAGAAATTAGTTTTATTTGGTCTTCTGTGATTTTATTATTTATTTTTCCTTTCGACTTGTTTTTTAATTTTTGTCCCTAAAAAAATCCATCCATATGCTGGTTCTCACTTAAAACGCACCGAAACCTGCCTTATTTTCTGCTGGTCACAATCCATCAATCATCCAATGGCTCTGTTAACGTTTCGTTGACTCCTGCTGGATCTGAGAACAAGGCTTTCATTTGCTTCTTTCTTTAAAGTCTTCATTTAACTTTTTTACAATACTTTGCCAAAACTCCATGTTTCCACCCCAAACCCCACCTCCGCATCCATGCATCACCTCATGTTCTTGAATCCGTTTGTTTGATTTGTTGTGATCAGCACGCATGCTCTCCACGAACGTGGTGATTTCTCTTTGACATCCTGTCCTGTTTAGATCCATTGTGTGTATGCTAGAAACGTTGCATTGTTGCCCATTGCTTGTGCTGTACTATTTCAGACCTCATAATAATGATATGAACATGAATGTTGCCTCTCCATCCTGCACTAAATAATATAATTCTCTCAGAGAATGAATGGATCATACTTTTGAGGCAGATCTTCATTACTAAATAGCTGTGTTGAGATTGGTTGTCATGCTGATTGCTTTGCTGTGGTTGTGTTCAGCCTGTCATATAGGCATATCACCATTATTTCTTCTTTATTCACTGCATGAACTGGGAACAAATTTCTAACTTTTTTGTGCTTAGGCTATTTTAAGTTACTAGTGGTTACTTATTATCATCTCTTCTTAAGTGATCGAGCTCAAGCCAGATTCATCAGTTGTTCAGAGAGATCGCAGATATAAAGGCCTACTTGCACCAAGAGGCAATAGTTCACAACAGTGACCGCTCACGTTTTTAGAGAAAGTATGACCATTTTTCCCAATTTTCGCCAAAGGAATTTAAGTTAATGTTTCAATAAAGAGCTTTAAGCCATGAACCCATCTAACCAGCTCTGACAGGAGCATTACAAATTTGCTGGTCTGTGTTCTTAAAGCAATGCAAATGATTTAATTTCATTAAAAACAATGGCACAGTATAAAACTATTGGCTTAGAGTCATCGATTATAAGTATAAAACCAATATATGTTTTTATTGACTGACTGACTCGTTTGTCATTTGCAATGCTTTATGGGAGTCTGTGGTTGGTGCTGAGCTTTTTCCATCTATTTCTGTTTCCTTGGTACCATTGATTTTCTCTGATTGGTGGTCCTGTCTTGAGGATTATGGGTAGACACTGACTTTTTCACCTTTTAAGGCATGTGACAAACAAATGTTGGGAAGTTCTAAAAGAACTGTTAAAACTGAGTGGTGTCAATCTCAAAAAATTAGGAAAGAAAGCAACAAACTAAACTAAAGTCTAATGACACACTGAATACAATTTTTCTGTGACTAAATACAACACCTCCAAATAAGTAGGCTGAAAGTCATCATTTAATTGTATAATAAATTCAATACAATTAAAACATCCTATATATTAACTGTACATGTGGAAAAAGTCAAATATGCCTTTAATCTATGTTTTTCGTTTTTGGTGTGAGTAGGCCTTTATGTGTTCTTTCAGATATTTAATAAAATCCATAAATTTGCAAATTCAGTGTGGACTGCAGAAGCAGATTTTTGGGTACCACGTCTCCATTTGTATCACAAAAACATCAAGAACCTAATTTCGAAACTGAATTACATTACATAGAACAGCTCACTGCATATACAAAGTTAGCCATTGTAGTGATTAAACTAATGATGGGATGGGTTATAAACAGGTTTACATAAATGTGACCCTGGACCACAAAACCAGTCATAAGGGTCAATTTTTGAAATTGAGATTTATACATCATCTGAAAGCTGAATAAATAAGCTTGGCCGAGATACAACTATTTGAAAATCTGGAATCTGAGGGTGCAAAAAAATCAAAATACTGAGAAAATCACCTTTAAAGTTGTCCAAATGAAGTTCTTAGCGATGCATATTACTAATCAAAAATTAAGTTTTGATATATTTACGGTAAGAAATTTACTAAATATCTCCATGGAACATGATCTTTACTTAATATTGTAATGTTTTTTGGCATAAAAGAAAAATCGATAATTTGACCCATACAATTTTTTTTGGCTATTGCTACAAATATACCCCAGCGACTTAAGACTGGTTTTGTGCTCCAGGGT